CGTTGCAGCTTCCGTTCGTGGATACGGGCTATCCGCAGGGGCTGTGGGATCGTGACTAAGCAAGGTATGGTTACTATACTGAAATGTCTTAGTGGAACAACCGTTCCTTTTTTATTTTGCAGAAATACATGCTTATGTGATTTAAATATTAATTTCCGTTATATTTACGCACTGTTCAAATCATAATATATGCTGCATATACACACACTCACTGGGGTATTACCCAATGAGGTCGTTGTAGTGGTGGTACAAGAAATTGAGCATCACCAGCGCCACAGCCGCAGCACCGAGTGTCTTCGCAGCAACCCTGGAAGAGACGACACTTTAGTGTTCGGCTAAAATGGGTTGGGAAAAGAATTCTGAATGTAATAGTTATAATGTTTATAATAGTGACGGCTGCACTACTCTTGCATGTGGTTGATGAAGGTAACTATAAAGATAATAACATTGATGATAAAAATGACGATGGTAACTTGGGATAAGGATGATCAAAATAAAGGCGATAATAATAATAATGACAATTATGATAACAAATATTCACACTTTTCTTGCATATTGGGTGAAAGGGTAAGTTCACCCGATTTATATATGATGAGAGTCAATTTCTCCATATTATTTTATATATGCCGTTAGCTACAACTACAAGCTAAAATTTTCATGGGGACACATAGACGACATAGGACGTGGGCTGTGGCGCCCGTCCGAGAAACGTCAGCTGTAGCTCTATTTCAGCAGGATAATAAAAATAAAGTATTGTCTTCATGATAAAGTGACTTATATCTATGCGAGGGTAAATGATGTTAAGAAGTCTTCTGGTTAAGCAGGAAATGTTTTGTAATTGTTTAGTGCAGCATACTAAAACACTTGATGTTGCTGACTCGCTTTCTTATGTTAAACTCCACATATAATATTGCCCATTCATTTACAATTCCTTCACAAGATCAAACAGATCGCCATAAATACAATACACACGTATGTTTCATAGTGCCAGACGTATGTCCATGGTGATCCACAGCAGCGGAACTCTAAAATCTGATGTTCCTAGTCTCAAGGCCAGTAGTACACTGAACCCCGCAGGACTCGACAGGTAAGGCAAGCGGGGCCATGCTTTTACATGAGGCATCTTCTTACGTCGTGACGGTTAATGTAATGAACAAGCACCATTTACAGCATGTGGTGTACTTCTCTTGATGCGTATGATTTTTGTACTGAGTTCTTTTCCAAAGAGAGGTGTACTGACAGACATTTTTAGGAAATGGCAAGTGGAAACTGAGAAACAAAAAAGTAGGAAGACGGCATTCTCCGGGCGATGTGCTGATTGGCTGTGTCGTGAACTTGGCTCCACCCACTCACTCTAACAGAGGATCTTCATACGTGTTTCATTTTAGACTGAAAAACATAACATACAGATGAATGTTTTATATCAAGCCATATGAAATTTGGTAGATGGACATTGCAGACTGTTAATTTACACTTGCCTTATTTGATTAGATTATTAATGGCCATTCCAATATCAACCGGGATACTTGTCTGAGATTACCACTAATAATAATAATTATATTGATGATACTATAAAAAAAATCTTATTAATGAAACGGTAACGGAGTAAATCTAAGAATCATTATACCGATGTAAATAATACTCTACTTGCACTCCACCTTCGACAGGTTTACCTGCAAGATACGATAATTCTTCCTGTTTGTTTGTTTGTTTGTTTTTTGTACTTTTTTCCAGTAATGATGATCACAATAATAATAGTGAAGCGTATAGCTATGTAGATGGTTTGACTAAAACTTTGTTTTCTAGTTTTGAACAACGTGTTTTCGTCTGTTAGTACGGAGAATGCCTGATTTAATTACGTAACGGGACACAGCCGTTCGACATCTAAATTCAAGACATTGTTTCGTATGTCTCATTAAATCTAATAATGCTGTTTTGCATACATGGCGAGTCCGGGATCAACACAAAAATTTTGTTGTGAATAGCCAGATTGGTATGTATATATATATACTAAACGTACAATAGCCTGCAAAGCATGCATTCAGGTTTCTTTTGCCATTTGCACGAACCTGTACGTGTAAGCGTTGACTCTCGTTAATAATTTTCTATTGCAAGACGGTTTCCTGCAGGGAACGATATCCGTTATGCATTACAAGTTTGCCAGGGGGAAATATTCCAAAAGTCTGACCGCAAGAAATTAATTAAAAGAATAACGATATTTATGCACTTATATAATCTTAAAAATAATTTCTCAGCAACATGAAATCTCAAAACTAAGTTAGATGATTTTCAGACATTCTAAAAATAGTTCTTGGGTACTCTTATTATATTTTTTTCTCATAAGTACGACGATACTTCATTTTCGTACTATGTATATTTCAGACCGTTCTTTTTAGTCTTTTTTTACCATTTCCCAAAGAAGAATGATCAACATCTTTTTCCCACTAGGCTGGTGCTCTGTGACCCAAAACAAGTGGAGGATCTGCGATGTGTGAAGCCTAGTTCACACACCAAAAATTTTCTAGGACCTGCCAGACCAATACTAAAAATCGGGCTTCTCTGTGAAAGTGCAAATTCTAAAGACATGTTGATTGTCACTTTGCCATGGCTTCCGTAAAGCACGCAAGAGAGTTGGCTTCTTTGTTTTCGGATGGAAATGTATTTTTCCTTTCTGCGAATGACAAGGCCAGAGTGCCTCTTGGTCTTCCAGTGCCAAAAAAAGCAAACCGCGATTCTGATGCACCTCGAATATAAAGTGGAACTTCCGGATCATTTCCAATTGGGGAAAAGCATAAGTTGATCCCATCTGTTTATGCTGCATGTGAAAAAAACAAAGAATGTTCTATTGGCTACAACGGGCCGACATACACAGCTATCCGAAGTGGAAAACATGACAAAGCTCTGCTGCTTCACATATTGAAGATTTTCGGACACTTCTATCTCTAGATGAATTTAAAAAGGCGTGCTTGAAAGTCGTCGTCCTGAAACCAATGCTGTTCGTATCTGTTGATGGTGAACCGGACGAGGCTCCAAAACACGATGACATTAGAGGCATGGGTCACTATCTTCAAAGAATATGATTTGGATATTGCTCTCATCTTCACACAAGCACCTGGTAGGAATTGATAGTTTTTTGTATCCATCATTTTCTAACTCCGTTTCTGTTCCGTCACGTTTAAAAAAATATTTTGCATCGTTTTTTTTTCTATAAGTAAGATCTCCTTGCTACCACTGGGCCTGTAAGTTTTTTTTTCATGAAACCACCAAAATTAGATGTCATAGCTTTGAGAAGATGTGGAAAATAATTTCCGATAAATGATTAATATTTCCATCTTGAAGAATTTTCAAATCAATCTACACTGTTTTATAAGAAGATCGAGCATCAAAATTCCCCAAAATTAAGAAAAAATAACTCTAAACTCTAAAGTCGCATCCTTTATTTTTTAGCTTCAAAGTGCAAGGCTCCCATACAGCGTGAAAGGCACAGTCGGCAACCTCCTAAAACCACCCAACAGTTTTTATAAGAACATCAAGCTTAGAATGGATATTTAACAATAACCTTTGAAGAACATTTCAGCCTCGTGATGGCGTTTAAGCTGAATATGTTTATTTTACTTAACAAAGGGGGGAGGGGGGGAGGAAAATCTGACGTCAGCACATGGGGGGGGGGGTTACCTCTAGCTGACACGTGTGTAGTGATCGGTAATGTTAAGAAATTTCTCGCAAAGATTAAGAAGAGTTCTCACTGCCACCACCCAATTAATTGACGTATGGAAACGTGATGTCAGTGTTGTGAGATGATAGTGTAAGGGAAGGGTGTGAGGAAAGGAGGGACAGTAGGTGTGAGTGTGTGTGTGTGAGAAAGAGAGAGGAGGAGTGTAAGTGTAGTGTGCGAGAGTTCGGTAAGCGACTTTTTAGCCGAGAGGAGACGTGTACGGGGGGAATGACTCCCCATATGATACCGAGGTGTGTGTGTGTTCACCGTTGTAATGACTTCGTCTACCGTTCAGTCCGGCTTACAACCCTTAGGGTCTTGTTCTTCCAATTCACAACTGCGAGGGCATATGATAAAAGCTTTTCACAAATCTCGTTTATTAAACAGATAAAACACTAAGAACACGGGACATAAAAACACTAAGAACACGTGACATAAAAACACTAAGAACACGGGACATAAAAACACTAAGAACACGTGACATAAAAACACTAAGAACACTAAAAGAACTTGAGCATGAAAACACTTAGAACCCTAAAAGAACTTGAACATGAAAACACAAACAATAAAAGAACTTGAACATGAAAACACAAACACTAAAAGAACTTGAACATGAAAACACAAACACTAAAAGAACTTGAACATGAAAACACAAACACTAAAAGAACTTGAACATGAAAACACAAACACTAAAAGAACTTGAACATGAAAACACAAACACTAAAAGAACTTGAACATGAAAACACAAACACTAAAAGAACTTGAACATAAAACGTCAAGATATAACACTAAAAACACAAGAACGCGTGAGCATTAAAACAAACTTAAATGAGGCACCGGTCTTGTAAATCACTTTACTTTTCTGAACATGAATCTCTCCTGGTACCTAATTTTAACGATTCTCACGACCACTTAGCTTGACAGGGGAGGCCCATTCCGGGGTTCCTCAGCAAGTGCTACTTCCAATGACCAACGACAAAATCTGCTTCTCTCGTCTTTCCATTACAGTTCGTGGCGCGAACAAAATAAATCAGGAGGGGAATGTCTTTACTTATTAACCTTAAAAGTTATCTTTAAAAAATGAACATTTGCAAAAATAAACATGTAAAAAAATAAAAGAACTAAAATAATAAATACTGAAGTTAAAAGATAGATAAAATAATAAATTGCCTCCTACTCATTATTTTGCTCATTAATTTTGTATTTTTCTTTCTTGCGTTCTTGTGTAGGATATAAATAACAATATAAAATAAAACTTTTAATAATAACTAAAACAAACATAATT